CTAGTTTTGTAACAAATATTCTATAACTTATGAGCCTCCAACAGTATACAGTATTGCAAATGAGTAGAAGGAATAAACTGGGATCCTTTTTTACATGAACGGTTCATGATTGTCAGCTGTACAGTATATTTATACCTGTCATATTTGTGTTCATTGAAAGTAATGCAAGTTATTTTGAGATCTTGCCAAATAGGAAAGCTTACTTTCTATGCAGAAAATAATTCAGACCAAACTTGTTGGATAAACTCAGAGAATTTCACAATAGTTTGATAAGGCTCTGTTGTACTGTTGTCCATCAATTGCTGCCCTGCTAGAACTTGGTCATCTTATTATTTTAATATGTTGAATAAGAGGCTCTTTATAAACACTTATGTGAGTTGAAGGGGGGAGAGTGGTAGGTGATTGGGTTTTTTTTCTGAGGCCTGATCTCATACTGTACTTCGGTGACTGCTTCTTTTTGTTTGTAACCTGCTATATACAAAACCTTAAATTATAGTTAACTTTCTGTTAAAAGTTTTGTTCTACAAGGAGACTTGCTAAAAAATCCATCATGAATTTCAGTAAAGATAACATAAGGAATTCCTTGCATCCTGAGCAGGTACACTTATATAATTTCTGTTATTGATGCTTTGGAGTGCTAATGCTATTGCTGAATCAAAAATAACTAATGCTAAAATGGCTATGGTAAAACTTCCACCTGTTGTAAAAGGCTGTGGGATTATTTTGGCATTTAGATACTGCCAGAAGTTGGAAGTACTGTAGTCAGGCACATTCTCTTGAGTTTGTAGTTCAGCAAATAGTTGTGTAAGTTTTGTTTCAAATAGCAGTTATAATTATTTCAGCACTTGTGAAACTGGTATGAAAGGACTTATTTATTGGAAATAGTTTAAAGTATTTCCTTTAATCATGATCCCAGGGTGAGTATATCTCTCCTAGCTTATTGAATCAAATCTATGTGCTTTTTGTTTCTTGAAGTTCTTTCAGAAGTACTGAAAGACACAGTGAACTTTGTTGTCTGCTCAGAAATCAGTGCAACCAGAATGAGGTATCTTGCATAACCCTCTACAGCTTAAAGACTGAGCGAAAGCCTTGTTGGACACTTCAGGACTAGGGGTTAATAGTTACTGTAGTACATCTTCCAAAAGTAGAAGGTAAGGGGTTTTGGTGTGCAGATGAGATCCTGCCAACATTGATTGCTAAGACGACTTAATTTGATGAAATTTTCATAGATATCATACCTGAAGGAAAAAGATAGTGAGTTCTGGAATAATACTAATTGTATTAACATTTTTCTTGTAAGTCTTAAATTTTATTTAGCTTGAGAGATTTGAAATGCACAGGAGAGAATCTGGAAAGCTACGTTTTTTTCCTCAAGATGCAAGTTTGAAAGGAAAGAAAGTAAACAGTTGAAAAGTAGCTCATTATATGTTGATACTACTTGTGCTTTTTGCTAAAATCTGACCATATGTTTTTGGGGGAGGGTTCACAGTTTCTCTTTTCCCCCTTTTCTTTTCTTTTTCTTGAATAGCAGTACTACAGAGCTCACTGTATTGAGAGCTCCTGACCCATGTTGCCTGTAACCATCATGTAAGGTACGCCTTCTAAAATATACTAGCAAAACAGATCACTCCAATCGGCAGAAGTTGCCCCATTACTGGAAGCAGTGTTTAAGAAGTGTAGTTGTGTATGCTGTAAAGATGATTAAAAAGCTTTAATAAGAGTAGGCAATTTTTTAAAAGTCTGATAACTTGCATATTGATTTTTGACTACTGACTTGATCTCCTATTTTAACTTAATCTTTAGCTGATAAGGAAGTATTTCTTAGAGGTAATTGCTGCAACTAATTTATCTTGAACAGTGTCCTCACATCATCTTCCTTTTTCTTGTCATCACAGGAGCATTATGTAATAGTAGTTCTTACTTACAGGGAAGGCAATACCGTGTGTCAGTTCTTCCTACATTTTACCAATTTATGGGAAATGTCTCTCACTTACTCTGTTCTCTTTTTGGTCTGGTTCCTGCCCTCCCCCTCCCTCCTCCCTCCTGCTTTTTCCCCTCTCCTCAACTGAAAACAACACTCTGTAATTACCAAGTTCTGTATAAAATCTCTTGCCATAAAGATTGGTAAGTGTACAGGAGTGCTTCTGGAGACAGTCTAATTTTACCAAATGAAAACTTCCAGGTATGTTTTTTTAATAACATTACAGAGCCTCGTCCATGTAAATAGCATAGATGTACCCATGCTATACTGAAAAGACTTTAACTACTGAAGAATAGAGAGAAATCCTTGATGAGTGGTTAAAACTGTACATTCTTTAAGATAAAAATCAATTTTTTTTTTTTTAAATTTTCAGATCTGTTTATTATGAAAAGTGGTGTTGCACATTGTGAGCCAGTATTCCTTGTCCCCAGCTTTGATCACCACTTAATAATAAAGCAATGTTGCATGGAGCAATTGACGCAATTACTTGTGGTTTATATACCTCAGATTTCAATATCTAGCATGTTATGCCTGTGATAGCTTGCTTCAAGGTGTGGTTTTAGCCAGCTGACTAAAACGTTTAAGTATTAAATTACTCTTCTTTATCTTTTTGTATTCTGGAGGATCTGCAGAGTTCATATGTAAGCTTAAACTACTACAATGTTAAAGTAATGATCTATACAAGATCTCAGTTTCAAGAAATTCAGTTCAAAAATACATACCCATATAAACAGTGGGGACACTCAGCTAAGCAGAAAGCAGCTTCCAGAACTGGGATTCATATCACAAAGGCTAAGGCTTAAAAAAGTACTATGAGAGGAGGAAGCTAAAAATTTGGACTGCCTACTATACTTGTATTTTTACATATAGTATGATAAACATATATAAATGTACATATACACATATATCAAATTTATTTTTGTAACACTGCTAATTTGATAAAGGTAGAGAAGAGATAAACCTATTTTGAGCCCAGCTCATACAGGTGTCCTAGGAAATACCCAGCTCCTTTGTGGAAAGTGATGTGCTTCTCTTTTCTTGTCCAAGAATTGAGGAGAATGCTACTGAAAGATTAGAGATGAATTTTGAGGACAGCAGATGAAGAGATCTTCTCTTTCACAAGCATGTTAAGAGTCAGTCACTTCGATCTTCTGCTCCAAAGGAGAAGGGAAAAAAAAACAAATCAAAAAAGAGGCAAAAGCACCATAAATGTAATAGAACCCTTTCATAACACCGTGTTTGCATATAATGTCTAATATCCTGCTTTTCCCTTGCTAGGCCTTCTTTCTTTCTCTTTTGCAACAGCATTCTTTCCCATGTATAGGTAAAGGAGGTAGGACAGTAGCAAATAATGGCTTTGGCTATTTATTCCAGGTGTTTAAAATACTAATTTAAATGTAAAATATATGGTGTAAGTGCTCATTCTGTTGTTTACAGTTCTTCTTCCCCGCCATGATTCTTCCCTGTGGATTATGCCTCTACCTTTCTCCTACCCTTCTTTCTCTCTTGGGAAGTGCCTGTACCCTGCAACTTTCCTTCCTGCTTGGAAGAGACTGGTGGCCCTTTTAACGTGAAGACAGAAACTGGAGCAGCAGTTTGCTGCTGTCTTGACAGATTCATAGTCAGAGTTCACTAAGACAAAATATTGGAAGGACATCATGATGAATAATGTGGGAAAGATCTGCTGAGTCTGGGAAATGTTTTGAAAGAGGGTGGGCAGTTGAGGAGCAGTTTTCCAGGGGCCTGTATTAAAACTAGCTGGTACATTCTTACTTGTAGTAATTTCTCTGTATTATCTTAAACTGATCTTGAAATTGTGGTGCGTGAAAAACCATCCATCTTTACTGAATCTTCTGTTATAACAGATATGGAAAAAAAAAAAAAAATCTTAATTTTTTCATAGTTTCCACAGACCTCTATTTAGATACCTGTGAATAATATACATCAGTCTTTTTTCCCCTCATTGTAAAATAGAACAGGTATGAAGTTTCTCAATTTTTTCTAAAGGTACAATGTAAATGTAGAACAGGGCATGCTGTAAGCAATGAAGTAATTTTAATGTAATCTTAATAAGGATTTAAAGCAATATTGCATAAGGTGCAAATTGGCATCCCAAGATTTTTTCTTGTTTTTAATTACTAAAAATCATGTCCGAATTCCTTTCCCAATGTGTTGCTGAAACATGACGTAGCCATTGGGTGTTATGCATATTGTTTAGCATGTAATCCTGAGATTATCATGTAAGATAATGTTACATGGTTGTTTAAAGCAACTGAATTTATGTCCAGCTATTAGAATAGGTAAGCATTTGAAGAAGTAAACATCCTTAATTTCATGTTTCGGAACACGTTTCAAATTTAAGCTTAAAACACAGCTTAGAGATGCTAATTAAATTTGTTTATTGAAATGAAAAGTTTCTTGATGAAGAACAAAGATTATGACCTATTTATTGCTACTAGAAAAGATTGCCAGTGTTGTTAGAAAACTTCCTTACCCACAATTTCAAGATGAAAATTTTACTTTATTAGAAAGGTAAATAGATGAAATTACTGTTATCTCAGTGTAGTGCAGTTAATTTTTAAAAATTGTAACTGATTTTCTTTTTTTTTTTTTAGCAAGGTAGGTAAACAGTGTATTTTGAAATTGTTTGGGGTTTTTTGGTAATCTTTATTTGCGTATTGCAAATATTTGCTTTTTAAATGTTAGCTGTGAAAAATATTACTTTGGATTTTAACAGATTTGTGTATAAAATAAGTTACATAATGATTCTGGTTATCTCAACTTTTAGGCAGTGTGAAATGCTTTTATAGGGTCATATATGGTTTTGTTAGTTTTTGGGAGACAGCAAAACATTAAATGACAATTTAACTTCTTTATGTTAGACACTACTTGCCTTCACCTTTAAATTAAAAAAACCCCTCATGTTCTAATTCTTTTTTCCTTAAAAAGTATTTTTCATTGCAAAGTTGTATGATTTGTATTTTTATAATACTGTTACACTTTTTATTTTTCAGTCCCAGAAATCCTGGATAGAAAATACTTTCACCAAGAGGGAGTGTGTGTATATTATACCAAGTTCAAAAGACCCCCACAGGTAAATGAGAAATGATGCAAGAACTCATTGCTGCTCTTTAAAATTAAAAAAAGTCAGTATTGTAAAGAGAGTGTATAATAGATTTTAGGACTAACTACTCTAGCTGTATAAAATACTGTCTTTAGTTCACTCTTTCGTGACTGGGCATTGTCACTCTTTGTGTCTAGCTTGGATTCTTTTTTTTCCTTTTCTGAAAGTCCTTTGGCATTGCAGAAATCTCTGATAAATGTTCCCCTGTTCTCTTTGCTGCTTCTTACCAGTCTTCCTAGTGATGTCTATGGTGTGCCTACAGTGTGGGCGTTTTGTAACTTTTTTTTTTGTGTGTGGCATAGTTCTGAAGTCAGAAAGTCTCATAGAGATATACTCTATTGGAATTTAAAGAGTAGCAGTATGAATGTGGGGTGAAGTGTAAAAATAAATCTGACGGTGCAGGAAAAAGGGATGAAGAATTCATAGAAGAATAAAGAAAAACAAGAATCATGGTGGGAGAAAAAAATACAAAACACAGACTGAAGAAATATTTGCTTCCAGGGAAGATAGATAATGTAAGAACAGTTCGGATATCAAAAGATTTCATGTGGTAATTTTTCATCTAGTAATTTTTCATCCTGAAGTTCTGTAAGGAAAAAATGAGGCTGAAAAATGGGGAAATATGTTTCTACAAGGGAGGCTGAGACTAATGAAGAATATTTTGCATATCTCACGTGCTGCTTCTACCTTATGCTAAATTAGAGATGTGAAATCAAGCAAGTTAGTGATACCTCTAACATACCTAATTGGTAGAGTTTACCTTCACTAAATGTTATAGGTATAATTTTAAGAGCTCCTACAATGATTGAACTTGATATGCATGGTCATGACATCTGTGTCACAGATCAAATAAGGTCAAATTGAAAATAGATACAAAATCGGTATTTTAAGGCAGTTTTGTGTCCCCAAAATGTTTACTACTGTCATTGTGGATTTCAGATCAGCTTTTTTTTTTTTAGCTTCGTATATTTGAGAGCACCTGAGAAACCATTTCTTCTGAACTTCTGAAAACTTCTATTTCAGTCTTTTCCATGAAAAAAGTTATAAATCTCTTTTGTTCTATTGGGGCAGAGTATTATTTTTCTTTTAAGAACTTTGTTTTTAGGCAGAAAAAGAACAAAGTAAATGCTGTAGAATTTTTAAGTTATTGTAAATAATTCACCACATTCCTTGGAACCATGTGACATTGAGAAGCTTTTAGAATTTATAGCCATGATTGTAGCACATGGAAAATTTGCAAATGCAAACAAAGTAATTAGGAAGTTGTTAAAATTTCCAGAGCATTTCACAGGGAACAAAATGATCTTCAAGACTTGCCCTTTTAGTTTAACCCATTTGTAGTGTACAACAGACTTTACAACTTTTCCATCAGTTTCTAAGAATCGCTTACTGTTGTTCGTGAATTATGCGTAAACGAATCAAATGTAGACAGGAGTATTCGGTATGTTTTATTGATCTGTACCTTCTAGTATAAATAATTATACTTCAATAACTGTTAAGAGAAGATGTAAAGCTGTAGTTCAGTATTAAAAGCATAGATGATTAATAGCATAGTGTAACTTCTATAAAGGACAAAATTAAAAAATTGTTTATGCTTAAAGTCTGAAAACAGCTTAAGAGTACTGTATAACATCTGTATTTGCACACTTTTGCATACTAGCTCTTAACCATAATTGGTTAACAGCTGCTTATGAAAATTATGGAAAACAGTGGTATAAATTTATCTGCCATGTTAATTTTAAATGTTAAGAAAGGTGTTAGCAGGAAAGCACAGAAAATGTTTAAGATGGAAGCAGGTAGAAATGAAGAATTCTTTTTATATAATAAACTTCATGTAAAGACACTACTGTATAAGTTTTGTTCAAATATAGCTTTTTCTGCACATGCAACTCAGAAATGATCAAATCACCTTCCCACACAGGCAGTTCAACTTGCATGTATATTAGAAGGATGAATTTGTAGAATAGATGCAACAATGTATAGTTAGAATGAGTCCAAGAAAATGCTGGTCTGTAAAGTAACTTCTCAGCATCTAGCAAAATATTTCAGTTTGAGTACTGCAGGTAATCCAGTCTGAAATATTCCTGGGCTTCTGATATTGATGGTTCAAAGCCTGAAAAGCTGTCTGAAGTCTCAGGACTGAAGCTTTTGCATGTTTATGCGTTTTTACTTGCCAAGTCTACTACAGACATGTAAAATAAAGACAGACAAGTTACCATGTTAAAAACGGGCAAACTTGGGTAGCATGTTTTCCATTTACTGGAGATCTCTTTTGTTCAGTAATCTTTCGGTAAGCACATGAAGTGGTGTGAGTGGTCTGTTCCCCCCTCTCTCCCCTAAAATTGAAGCTGAAGTTTACTCATATATTTAAATATTTCTTATAGATGCCTTCCAGGATGTCAGATTTGTCAGCAACTTGTCAGGTAAGAGTTCTTTGTAATTACAATATTTATGATTTTTTTTTTCCATTAAATAAGCGCTTTCATAATAGGGTTTTAAAAAGTTTTGATCAATTTTGCAAATGACAAGTCGGTGAAAGGTTAGATATAAACCAAATATAACTAGTAAAGAACAGTCTGCAATACGTAGATCACGGATTTATAAATGTTATATAAATTATTTGGCTTCAAAGAATCAATTTTCTATGTCCTGACTACTCAGTTTCTTCTGGCCTCCAACTTGCTATCTCAGTGAGCTTCAATATTTTGCATAATGATTATGTATTGTAATTAATTCTTGCTATAAATATTTATGGCAACAAGGCTTGCTTTGGAAAAGAGGTTTATATAATACTTAGAATCTTTGCTTTCTAAATCTGATGTATCTCTGTTATAGATAAAAGTTGTTCTTCTCTCTTGTCTTCTAATAATAGTATTTATTCAAGTATTCTAAATGATATGGTTGGGTGCAGGTGCTGTTGTGGCCGCTTGGTCAGACAACATGCTTGTTTTACTGCAAGTCTTGCTATGAAATACTCCGATGTGAAGCTGGGTGAAAACTATAATCAGGAAATAGAAGAATGGTCAGTGGAAAAACATACAGAACAGACCTCTACTGATGCTTATGGCGTCATCAACTTTCAAGGTGGCTCTCATTCTTACAGGGCTAAGGCATGTATGACGTTTTCTTTTTTTCTTACTCTGAACATGTTGATAGAGATGGTGGATGCTTCATTTAACTTTCGAAATTGAAGGCTGAAAACAATGTCACCCTTATTGTGACAAACCAGTGCCCTTTACTATTCTAGTATTTTTTTTTATTGTGATCTGAATTCTTTCTAACTTCCATTTTAAAATTTATTTTTCATAACGAAAGTTGCTCAGATCTATCAGAATTAGTTGTATTCATGTATAGGCTTACCTTTAAATTGCAAATGGTGGTAAGAATTCATAATCACTTCAGTAAAACATTACATTAAGAATTCAGTGTCACTGTTTTGGACTTCATGAAAATACAGCTTACTCATCTGTGCTGCTTGCTTACTCCCTACTGTTAAAGTTTTTATAGGACCTGTTAAGTAACATCTGCTATCTTAACCCTCTATTCATAATTTTCAAACTCTGAAAAATAATTTAAAATGATTGACAGATGTGGAATATGCTTCTTTAGTAGATTTGTTCAAAATTATTAAAGCATAATTGTACTGATCAGAATAACTAAGTTTGGGTGGGTGTTAGTTAAAAAGAAGCATGTCAATAAATCGAAATTTTGGAAATTCACAAGTGCACATGTATTGGAGAGGCTAGAAAACTGGAAACTCTGACATATTCTCCATAACCATTTTGTAAAGGATATCTAGTTGCGGTAGAAATTATTTAATGCTCGTGCAGTTATAAACTGCAAGGGGTTCTGATACAGTGTGGTTCCTATGGCCAAACTGAAGTGCTTGAATGAGGGAGCCATGTTATTTATGCAGCTGGTGGAGCCCCCAAGGAGAGTCCAGTGCTCTAGGTGAGATCATCTCTGTGGAGAGAAGGGCTCTTAGCAGAATTCTTTCATGTTGGTAATAGCAGCCTGTGTGTTCCTTTGTACGCTTAGTATAGCTTAAAATTGCTGCGAATCCTTTTCTAGGAGTACAGAAATAGCAAGCTGTCTGTACTCATTTCTGTGCTTACTTCTGCAGAGTCCTAGTGGGATTGCTAAAACCATTTTATTGGAATAGTGATGGTTTTTTAGTTAGAACTTGATTCAGGTACGGCTTAATGAATAGCTTGTATTAAAGATGCAGCAGTATTTTTAGCTGATTAGCCATCTACTTAATCTTATGCTGTTAAACATAGCAAGTTAAAAAGCTGCTAGTTTTGAAGTTTTCTATTAAAGAATGTAGCTTTCCTTCCCACCAGGAATAGGGAAGGAAAAGCAAGGAACTATCTTTCTGTAAAACTTTTCACAAGAGACATGTAAGCCTGTCCCCAGTAGATGGCAGAACTTTTATAAATATTTCTGAATTTTGTCTAATTTAAAGATCATCCAATGCTTTCATAAAGACTCCTTTTTCTAGGTCACTGCCAGTAGGATGGAGTAACATAATCTTTCTATAGTCGTTCCCTTTCCAAAACTCACTTTCAAAACTGTTAACTGTCTTGTCCCTTAATTCTGGAGGACATAAAGTAAGTTCATTTATTGCATCTGTCTTGTTTTCAGAAAGTGAATTACATTTTCCATAGCCAGGAATAGGATAATATATCCTGAAGTACATCCTGGTTCTTCTTTTTACTCATTGATTCTGTGATGATTTCTTTTAAGAACCTTTAACTCTTCTTCTTGTGCCTGCAGTATGTGCGATTGTCATATGACACTAAGCCTGAAGCTATTCTGCAACTTATGCTTAAAGAATGGCAGATGGAGTTGCCGAAGCTTGTTATATCTGTACACGGGGGCATGCAGAAATTTGAACTTCACCCACGCATCAAACAGTTGCTTGGCAAAGGTCTTATTAAAGCTGCAGTAACAACAGGAGCCTGGATTATAACTGGAGGAGTCAACACAGGTAAAGAAGTACCAATGAATGTGCACCGTTAACTGGATTATGGTTCATAAGAGCCAGAAGATTTAATGGATGCATAACTTTGTCTTAAAGCAAAGTAAATTTGAGTGAGTTTGGTCAAGTGAAATTAAAATAATACATTTTGAATATGTGTATTTGGAAGTGGGCTGCTGTTTTGCAAAAGAGAAATGGTCTTGCAAAGAGAAATAACACAAAGGTGGGGGGGGGTTGGTTTTTTGAGCTTTTTTGGTTTGGTTTTGGTTTTTTGTTTTGTTTTTTGTTTTTGAAACTGCACGAGGAGCAACTTAATGCAATTAAAACAAGTAATGTACTGAAAACTTTTTAGTTCTTACTAAGCTAATATTTATTTTGTTTAAGTACTGATACATAGTACTTTGTTTCCTTCTAGTAGATGTAGTATGGTGCTCTTTGTTTGGTGTTGTGTCAAATAAGTTCCCAGATCCTTAAAGGCCCAGTTAACTAATAAAATAGTTGTATTTCTCAATAAGATGCGACCTTCAATACACTGAAATCTTTTCGTGCACAAACAGGTGTTGCAAAACATGTTGGTGATGCTCTAAGAGAACATGCTTCCAGATCATCTCGAAAGATTTGCACTATTGGGATTGCTCCGTGGGGAGTGATTGAAAACAGAAATGACCTTGTTGGAAGAGATGTAAGGATAAATTACCTAATTGAAATAATGATTTACCTGACTTATTTTTTTACAAATCTGCTCAAGTGTGTTTTTTTCACTTGCTTTATATCATTGGAATACTTGCTTTAATATGAAGATACATTGGCATCTATGACTTATGCAAGATCATTAGTGTAAACAAGTTGCAAAATGCAAATGCACTACAGGAGGAGCGTGTTCTCAAGTATTTAATCCTTTTTTCCCCCCTACTGGTATTACTGAATCAAATAACAAAAATGCTAAAGTATTACAGAGAATTCACATTTACAGAGGACGCTAAGTTGATGCAGAGTCTTCAATGCTACTGTTTGCCAGAGCAGTCACAAGTTTTCCCCAAACACACCTTTTCAAAGGATCTTTTCTCTGTTATCCTTCAGAACAGAATTATCTTGTGATATAGTTACCTGCTTTCCTGCACAAAGTTAAGAGCTACAGCTGTTGGTGTATCCTGACGCAAGGCATGCTTATATGCGTCAGTGCTTCTTGTTGAACCGCCAATTCTTGTGTCTAGACAAAAAGTTAAGTTTCACAGAAACAAATTTGAATCTTTATAAGTAAAAGACATTGTTTTGTGCTTATACTTAGGTGGTTGCTCCATATCAAACCTTGTTAAACCCATTAAGTAAACTAAACGTCCTAAATAACCTCCATTCCCATTTCATTCTGGTGGATGATGGAACAGTTGGAAAGTATGGAGCAGAAGTTAAATTGCGGAGAGAACTGGAAAAAACTATTAATTTGCAACGGATCCATGCAAGTAAGTAATTCTGATGCCTGAGGGCTGAGTGTTACTATGCTTTAATGAAAAAGGTACTTGCACCAAACATTTGAAGGAGAAAATAGAAAAATCAGTCTTTTGTTTATGGTTCAAGTCTGAGTGATTATTTTGCGAATTTCGACTGCTGCTTTGGACCCTAGATATTGCTAGTAGATTTAGGATTTCTCTGGGACCAGAGAGGAGGGTTCTTTTGAATAAAGTTGTCAATTTTGCTTTGATAAAGCAAATGTATGTCACTTAAGCTTTTAGTATGTTGTCAGACCTTACTGGTCTGATTGATTCATGGTTTTGACACTGATCACTTGCAGTTTCACAATAGGGCAACTGAATTTGTAAAACATCATCTGTGTTTGTGCAAAGAAGCCATGACTTCTTTTAGTGTTTTCCTAGTTATGGAGCAACACATGTGTGTGTCTTCTCTTCTAGGAATGCTTTTGCAACTCCTGTCAGTAGAGGGTTTCCATGTAACTATGTTCAAATTACATATGTGTTGTCATCATTGGAAACTATTTGCGGGGAAGGTAGAAGGGGAGTTCCCTAAAGAAAAAATGTTCACTTTTCTGCATTAGTTCAGGAATATTTCTGTGAAGAATCTCTTCTGATTCGTAGACTGTGTTCCATTGTATCAGCTTCTTTGCAGTGCATTCCTCCCAGCCCAAAGTATAAATAGTGCTTGAAACTGTGCATTAGCAACAGTTAAAATGTCTGGCAGGCAGCATTTTAATATTTATTCAACAGCAGGGACATATGTGATTTATTAAATGTGTAAAATCAATCTTAGCATTCCCTATACACTTACAACATTGTCTGGTTTTTATTACTTATTTGCAACTTTATAGGAATTGGCCAAGGTGTGCCTGTGGTGGCACTTGTATTCGAAGGTGGCCCCAACGTCATACTCACAGTTTTAGACTTCCTTCAAGAAAGCCCTCCTGTGCCGGTGGTAGTATGTGAAGGAACTGGTAGAGCTGCAGACATATTGGCATATGTTCACAAGCAAACAGAGGAGGGAGGGTAAGTCCTAGCACTGCTAGCCAAACTATCAGTCATACATAGATGGGTTTTGAGACCATTCCTTGATGAATTTGTGCAAGAGCTTTCTCTGTGGAAAGACAAAGGCTAAAGGTGGAGAGTGTAATCTTGCCTGTGATGCAGCTTTCCAGACTGGTTGCAATAATAGCTCTGAGTAAAGACCAAGACTTCTTTTCTAGTTCTAGGTTCCTCCCACATACCTTGTACCAGTTGCACCAAATTCTGCGTATGCTTGCTTTAGCAATTCTTACAAAAAGAATAGGAAAAGTGTACACACTTATAGCTTAAATTAAGGGAAACGTCTCGTGTGTAACTTCAGTTATGTGCAGTAATTTTGTGACACCATTGTAACTAGAGCATCCAACTCTCAGTTTGAATGCTCTGTCTGCTTCAACTTCAAATTTTAACTAAACCACAGTAACTTAAGTGATAAATGTGACTGTTCTTAAGTGTGCACAACAGAGTTTTGCTCGACAGAAGTCAGAGCTGACCAGACCTTCCAGAGATGTGAGAATAATATAGAGAATAGTATGTTACCAAACTGCTTGAAAATATCGCTTGACTACCTTGAATGGAAATATTTTCACGCAGTTAGCTGTTGCATAGTAGTAACTTCTCTTGAAAAGGGATCAGGAAGAGTTTCTATATTGTTTCTTCTGAGTAGTCTTAAAACTGAACTTTTTACACACTTCTGTTTAGTGTAGAAAACACTTGTCTGTTTTAAGTGTGGTTTCAAATAATAAAAAGGATGTGCTTGGGCTCCACAATACTTAGTGATTTCTAGTTAGTTGTCAGACTTGCTTAAATCCTTAAACGTATTGGGTCCTTGTTGCAGGGACTGCCTTAGAACCAGGAGGCAGGGATCTAACGTAGCAGTAAACCAAACAGCGTTGTCCATAGTAAGATCAGAAGCAGGTCTTATTCAGAGGGGTGAGTACTTAGTATTTTGTGTCAAAATCTTTTAGTTGAGAGTGTCTTGGAACTGGGTATGGGAAGGAAAGGGAGAGAAGCTGAGTTACTCTCAGGAGGCAGTAGTAGAAAGTTGCAGATTAAGCAACCTGTACTTCTTTCTAAAGGTTACCCAAGATTTTGCCACTGAAACAGTAATAAGTTTATAGATAGCAGGACTTTGAATGGACACGTTGAAACTAATTAAATGCATTGTTGTTCTTACTGTTCATATGTAACAATGTGTTTTCCTGTTTGTTTGTTTCAATCTCAGGAATGTTCCTGAGGGTGCTGAGCCTGAAATCATTTCAACCATCAAAAAGACATTTAACTTTGGTCAAAGTGAAGCAGTTCATTTGTTTCAGACACTGCTGGAATGCATGAAAAAGAAAGAACTTGTAAGTAGATTATAAAAATTTTTTATGCAAGGTGTGTGCATTTGTGGATATAATATTAAATTGTATTTCAGTGTTGTATATGATCAAGAGTCATTTCAAAAATCTTTTCTGGACATAGTGGATCTTCCAGTTATAAAAGATAGTCAAATACAATTTTCGTGTGTACTTTATCTCATGGCCAAGAGAGACAATTCTTGTGATTATTTCTGGTAGCCTGAGTTTGTTGTTGTTTCCAAGCCTATTTGTTTTCAGATGACAGTATTCTGATTTGTTTGTAGTATGTAGGTATTTTGTATTTGGGTTGCTGTCCTTTTTTCTTGCTTTGATTTTTGAAAACCTTGGGACTTTTTTGCTTTTCTTTGGTCTTTTAATTATGACTGTACTAATAGAGGTCTACTATCACTGCGTGCTTAAAGCAAAAGCACTTTATAGAGCTTTGTATGTAGGCTGAGTTCAGGTACTGGTGTCTCATTTGGACATCATATCGTACTGTTCTAAGGTTTAAAATTGTCATATTTGGCTAAACATGTTTGCTGGCAGGTTAATCTCGTAATCTAGAATGAACTGGAGGCTAATCTCATAATCTAGAATGAACTGCAGGCGTAAACAGAATAGTGTGGTGTTTATAGACCATAGAGAATTGTAATCAAAGCGGGAAAAGAAGTTCAAATTGATTGAAGAGTGTAAAAGGTTTCTGCTATGCTTTTTCTTATGAAAGATTGTCTTGTGTGGCATCTTGTTAGGAAAACAATACAGAGTGCACAGTAAAGGTAGGTTTAAATTGAGCATAGGCTTAAATTGCATCGAAGATAAGGTGACTTTTTAATGTATTTCAATTTGTGACATAAAAGACTGGAGCTAATCACCTTTGCCTGAAAATAACTTTAAAATAAGTTTTCCCTATTTTACCGTTTTGGACAGATTACGGTTTTTCATATTGGGTCAGACGAACATCAGGACATTGATGTTGCAATACTTACAGCATTGTTAAAAGGTGAGACTTTTAATTTTAAGAGCACTTGGAATCCCCAGGTGTTGTTGTTTAGTGTTAATATGATGGATTATTTATAAAATACTATAATCTGTAGGAATCTTTAGTTTTTAAGCAAATAATTATCTACTATATTTTCTCATTGTATAATACCATAATGTGTCATAAATGATGAAATATACAGTATAACTTTGTGGTGGATTGCTTGATCTGGCTTTTTTAGGAAGAAAGAATGTTTATTATCTTACATTTTAATTGAGTTTAAATTTTTTTCATTGTTTTTTCTTCTTAAGGCACGAATGCGTCTGCATTTGACCAGCTTGTTCTTACACTTGCGTGGGATAGAGTTGACATAGCCAAAAATCATGTTTTTGTTTATGGGCAGCAATGGCTGGTATGTAATGGTCTGGATTGAGCAGAATGATATTTTCTGAGAGAGAAGCTCAACTTACTGTAAAGAACGAATCTTTTGACTTTTGTAGAGAGAGAGACTTTAGAATACTGACACATTTATTTTGAGGACAGTAATTTTTGCATGCTGCATAGTCTTACAGGTGCTTTGTTATTGTGTAGTTGAAAATGGTCCAAAAATTTTAGAAATGTGCTAAGTGCTCTTAATAACTGGAGGAGAAAAGACATTGCAAAAGGTGGAAGCTGAATTCATGTTAGCCAGATGCTCTTTCTTCCTTACAGCTGCATGGTCATAGGAAGTTCTTAAGCATCTAGTAAAATGCATATATTAACTACTGTTGGCAGCACTGCAGTGTCTTTTGAGGGGGGAGGATAAAATGTCTGTTTCTTGTACTCTACGAATTAGTTTGAAAACTACATTGTGGATCTTGCCTTTTTCCCATATTACTGTAAAAATTAAACACAATCTTACATGAGTGTGCAGTCAAAAGTACATAATGTAAGGCTTCTTGATAGCAATGATGGTTCTGAGCATTTGTCTTTGAAGCAAATTGTGCTTTAAACGCTTTATGTCTTTGTGTTTCATCCAATGTCAACCTATGAGAACAGCTTAACTATGTTAAATCAAATGTCTACTTAGTCCCGTGTACTGTGTCAGTAAGAGATACCTATGGAAGAGTGTAAGATTTGCTGATTAAGTCTTCAGAATATTCTGAAGTTCAGGTGATTTTTCTGAACCAAGGGTGACATCTTTGTATTTGCAGACATATAAGGTTTCCCCAGCCCTGTAAATGAATGAGGTTGATAGGTAATCTAAGTACACTTACTTTTGCGATGCCCCATTTTACTGGTTCTCTCCAGGCTCTACCTTGTTACTTATTTGTTGTAGGTTGGCTCTCTGGAGCAGGCTATGTTAGATGCCCTTGTGATGGATAGAGTTGCATTTGTGAAACTTCTGATTGAAAATGGAGTAAGCATGCACAAATTTCTTACAATTCCCAGGCTGGAAGAACTTTATAACACAGTAAGTGAATGATTGCTTTTTAAGCTATTTTTAGAACAGCTTTTTAGTTGCTCAGTGTGTTGTATACTGGGTCATGTACACGAGTCTGAAGGCCATGGAGTGTCGATAGGGTAGGCTTCCTGGCGTGAAGTTAGAGTTGAGAAGTGCATGCTGTCTGGCTGCTTTGTAGTGCCACAGCTGCTTTCTGGCTCTTCAGAAGTGATACCAGAAATAGTTGTCAGCAGGATGTTCATCTGTGTCTAATGTTGGGAATAGATACTAAAGGGAAAATTGCAGTTTTGTTGTGGAACATATGAAATGTGTAAACCACAGTGAGGAAAAGAACAAGAGAAAGTCAGGTGGGTGAAATTGTGCACAAAATAGGAGGTCTGTAGGTAGTATTGTTAGAGCTTCATAAGATGAATTCTGTTTATAGCAGTTAATATTATCATAATAGTTGTAAAAATAGTTTATTTTGTGAACATGCATAATTATAAATATTACCTAGAAAAATTTTGTTGCTGTAGGTGTTGATTTAAGAATTTTAAAGTAGTTTTGTATAACACTTAAGTATCTAACGGGACAAAACAAAAAACCTTCCACCAAGAAGTAGCTAGTGTGAGTAGTACACAAATATGACCTAGGCTTACGTTAACATTCTCATTATC